AAAAAAGAACAACATTTAACATTGAATACACGAATGAATCTCGGTGTTTTTCCAAGCAAAGTGTTGCAAAATAATATCTGTACAGTTCTCTTAAGAATTATATGAACACTCTGAGATGTCGTATCGATCGATGGTATTAATGTGTGCTCAGGAAAGCCCTCCAACATACCCATATAAAAGTAGTCTGAATAGATTAAATCTGGAAGTATGCTTTTTTTACGATTACAGGAAAACTTCTTGAAAAATCACTTTGTGGAAGCAAGAATTTTCCACACTAATTGCAAATGAAAACAATCAAACAAGATTGAAATATCTCAAACTTAATTCAATCGTAAAAAGTACTGACCTGCTAAGAATGTTTCCTAATCTTAGGATTACTACAGAAATGAACTATCACGCATAAAGTGAGCAAATAGCTATTGAGAATAAACATGGATGTGGCATCATCAGTGTGATGTGCGTCCAGAGTGAAGTTGACGAAACCGGTAAAGACATTAGAAAGCAGGAAGAAAACTAGCCCGGACCTATTTACAGAAGCTGTAAGGCAAGGCTCCACACCGCTCCATGGACTGTCATCTGTGAATGAAAGTTCAGATGGTTCAATCGATCTAAGGAGTGAAGGGTCTCACCTACGCAAAAATATGGAACATTTGCAGCCCATGCTATGATTGAGAATAATTGTACGAAGAGAAAACCAGCAATTGCAAATGACAACAACGACATCTGGAAACGCAGAACATGAACAAAGGGGAAAGAAAAAACAAAACGATTAAAATAATTTCATACTTGTGCAAAGATATAAGTTAAGTTGACAACACGTCTGGATGGAGGTCCAAATGCGTGCTCAGCTAAGTGTTGCATCAAGAAAAATAAAAGTGCAAAGGCAAATAGTCTCCAACAGCATTCAATCCAAGACTTTATGCGAATGCTATATCAAACCGATTTTCAAGACATTGAGAAGAACAAAGCCCAAACTTACCCTGTTTTAGAAATAAATACACCGATAGCATCAGATATGTAGTATATAGTGAAGTATCCCATCAGTGAGCAAACACCTTCAGCATTCGCAGAGAAAAGCGTGTCACGCTTATTCTCTCCATCCAAAATCCACGTCTGTGAAAGTTCATTATAAATTAAAAGAACATAATTAACTTTGTCGTTCTCATGTGCAATCATACAGACATACAAAACAAGTCCAAAAATTCACACAAAGCTCTCTTCCTGCATTGTCGTAGGATGCGCGATTACATCATGTGCAAAACAGCATAAAAATTTTGGTAAAATATTGAATTTGTGTGATTTCCCCGGGTAAGAAGCTAGAATCAAAACGCGCAGCTGTGAAGTTTATTTTTCTAGCTGTATACTTTACAGACCTCATATCCTTGTTTGAGCATGGTCTGTTGTAAAATTCCAAAAACGAAAGCCCATAGAAGAGGATACATCTTTGGCAAAGCAATTGAGACTATCTGCAAAAGTGAAACAGCAAAATACAAAGAACGCCTCAATAAAAAATCTTTACCTTTACTACAGCTAACGTATAAAAGAAGTTCCAATGTACGCCGTATTCAGTAACGTGCTGTGGGTAATGCAGAATGGTTAAGATAGCTGTACGAGCCATCCCTATCAGTGGAAGGATCACATAGGATGAACGAATCCATTG